AAACACATAAAAATAGTACTAAAATTACAACCCTAACTAACTTTTAGGTAATTACATATAGAACAATAGGTTGAATAACCAAGGGTTCCTTGCTCTGTATCACCAAGAGTTCTTACAAATGGTGGCTTTGATACCTCTTGATAAAATTGGAGCTTTATTATTATTTGTGAAACTACCTTCTATGATGTGGGCTATACGTTTAACTCTTCATTTCAATAGAATTTACTAAGGGGAAAGAGAAGTGTTTAAGAGTCAAATCAAAACTGAATCATCACCTGGCAAATGTTCTAATCAGTGTAAATTGAGCATCTATTGGGAATTTGTCAATAAAAATTTATGTAAGGGTTGGACAATGTCACATTTTTCTTTCCTACTCCCTTATTTGTGAATCTTGATCAATGTAATATTTTTGTGCTCTTTATATGTCTGTAAGTTTTGTGCCTTTCTAGATTTATTTTTCATTAATCGACCTATAGTTTTCTTTTCTTATAGTTTCTCTAGTTGAATAATTTCTTCATTTTTCTTTCTTTTCAGTTTATGGTTAGCAAATTTGAAATCCTACAGACAATTACATTTCTACACTCTATTATTTGGCTTTTTTACCTAATGCTTTAACATTTTTGTAATCCTGTCACTATATCTATAGCTAATGTTTTGACAATTTGCATTTTTCTATCATTATGTCCCAATATATAACATATTGCTCATAATATTACATTTGGATCGTCTAATTAATTGTTCTTTCTTAAATTTTTTGAGTAGCTATCAGGTTTTCTCAAGACTCATTCTCTCTTCCTTCTCTTTAAAACTCCTTTACTAGCTAATATCTCATTCAACTCCCCCATGGGAGAAAGACTAGACAATCTAATCTTTCCCTATGGGATGGAGCTCTTTTCTTAGTGTTATTTCCTTTGTTTGAATAAATTATCCTAGTGAGAGATTCTTTTCCCCTAGATTTTTCTTGTGGAATATTTATTCTCTCCTATGATATTCTTGAAAGAATATTTTTTTTTCTTCCTTTTTCTAGTTGATGAGACCAAATATTTGGTTGATGTAAGAAATCAAATCTGGAGGCTAGATCTAAATTTTTCTTTGGGTTTGAAACAGTTTTTATTATATTTGATCATCTAACTATCTGAAAACATGGACACGGAATTGTTAGATTGCAACAGTGCAGATATCTAAATGAAATTGTTCTTTTTATAAAAAAAAAAATCATGTTTTCTCTGTTGGGATCAATTCTATTTGTAACTTATTATATGTTAGAGTGGTCTCTTTGTAAGTATTGACTATAACGATCCTAGCCAACTAGGTTTGGGTAGGAGGGAATGGTTAGGAAGGGGAATAGGGGAGGGAAGGAGCGCAATTAATAAAAAAGTATTGATTATAATAAGTTCTATTAGTTTTTTAAAATTTTTATTCATCAAGCATCAAAAAGTCACCTTTCAAGTTAATTTTTTATTTATTATTCTTTAAGAAAATTAAAAACTCTTTTTCCTTTAGCTACCTTTTTTAGATTTTTTTATTGTTCAAAAATAATTTGTCTATTCTATTTTATTCTATTCTTTTCATTTTTGTGATCCATCCCTACGAAAAATTAGTATCTTTGTTTTTCCAATATATTCCTTTTTCTTATAATTAGTCAATTACAAATCAATTACAGTGTGATTAATTTAGGAAATTAAGGTATAGGGAAAACATTTGTCCTCTTTCACCATAATTAGACCATTGCAAATCAAAAACTATAAATACATTCAAATACCTAATTTGTATCGAAGAGAAATTTAATTAATTACATATTAGAAGAATCGCAAAGTATTCTCTTACATGTTACTTTACCACCATTTTTTAGAATAAGCAAAATTGAATATAGAGTATGATTCAATATAAATTAAATATCAATTTGTTCATGCATTAACTATTCTAGATCCACCTTCAAATCTTTGTTTTATATATGGTATCTTTAGATATATAAAATTTGTTTTTTATTCTATTGAATTAATATTTGTTCCATTCATTTTGAAAATAAAAATTACCTATGCAAATTCATGGGTTTATAACTAGTATTAACATTTTGTTATGTTACAAAAGTATGATAACCCACAAAATAAGCTATAATTATCTCCACAGAACATTGAATTAATACTAATATTTTGTTAACCACAAATGGCAAGTGTGAGACTTGAATATAAACTCTATTATTTCTGGAATCTTAAAATTTTTTTCTTTTAAATTTTGTCACTAGAACAAGGCTTCATTTTAAAATCAAGAGTTATAAACTAATTTGGTCAATGTTTGTAAACTTTTTAAAGGAATGCTGCACTTTTGTTAAACAAGTTTGTTTATTGAGGAGTATCTTTTCTGTTTTCTTATTTTGGCACGGTAAGGAGTCAAGTTGAGCTTGAATACTAGTTTACTCAAGCTCAAGCTTAGAGTAAACTATTGTGCATGAGCTTGACGAACTTACAACTTTGAGACTCACGCTGAATTCATGTAAAATTTAAAGAGTTCACGATCAAGCTCAAATTTGAACGGTAAGACATATAATTTGTTCAAGAAATATAGATTTTTGGATAATTTTTTATTTAATACAAACACATGTATGGATACATACATGTGTGTGTGTTGTGTATATATATACATTAAATGTATATATTTATTTATTTATTTATTTTTATTGGCATATCTGATACATGAAGAAGAGATGTTAGCCCTGAATTTGTTCATTAATTTTGGGAAGGCCAATGAAGCCTTTATTCCAAACAAAAAATACAAGTTTGCAAATAATTAAATAAGGTGCACTACTTTTTTATGGTCTATTTATGTAATTAAGATTTTAAAAGGCCTTCATGGTGTTACAGTTTTATTTTTATTGTTGCATTTGAGACCATTCTCAACACTTGTGGGAGCAAATTTATTTTGCTCATACTCTATGCTTTACTATTCAATCAGCTAGCTAAAATTTAAGTTTTGTGCGGTTAAGAGTTATATTTCAAGAATTTTGGTGTAAAAGATCTTGGGGAGCTAGCATGCCTTTAATATAGTAAAAATAAAGAATGGCTGGAACTCATGCTTTGCATTGATTATACCTTCAAAGTTAAATCTGAAAGTAAATGTCAATTATATTACATGGCTAAAGATAAATTGGGATTAAAGGCAATGCAGTAAAAATGATCTTTAAGAACCTCAGGTGGAATTTAATACAATTTGTAATGAGTGATCTTTGTATTAGTTTATTGTATAAAAACTGATATTACCTACATAGTAATTATATGGGTGGATAAATTTGGTAAATATTTGTCTATGTTTTGTGTATCTGCTAATGAAATAATAAAGTTTTGAGAAACTAATCATCACATATTTTCTTTGAGCATGCTGAAATAATTTACATGGATAATTAAGACTATAGATACTAGACTTGTGGGTAATTAAGTTATTTAAAATCCTCTAGAATGGAGGTTATATCTGTCTTATCTTAATGCTCAAAGGCTCACATTGATCTTGGATAAATTTGATGTTTCCACTATCGTGTTCATGACAACGTACGAGTCAAATTTTTTGACTGCTTGTGATATGGATGTTTACAATTTTTACAGTTATCTAAAGTAAAGGGAATGGATTGATAAGTATAATGCAGTTTACGAACGTACTTACAACGATTAAATGTTAAGTAATTATTGACCAAGTTGCTTACACTTTAATGGTTTGGCAAGTATGTCAAATGTGTGGTGCTTTTTATGTGGTCAGTGGGAGTTACAAATAACTCGTAACTCTTATGTATACAATTTTCAATTATGTAGTTTGATAAAGTTTTCATTCCCTGATTTATGTAGTTATGAATATGATTTTACTCATATACGTGCATATTTAAGGATTATATTGCATACATGAGCTCATATAAGTATTCAGTAAATGTTGAATAGTGATTGCTTGATATGCAAAGTGGCTTTGTGTTAGAGGTTAAGTGGACGAAATCCTATACATGCTTCCTTTGTGAAGCGGCTTCGATTTAGAAGCACTAAAGGGGCCATGAAACCCTGTATAGAGTCGGTTTAAGACTATATAGTGGACTAAACGAGGTTTTGATTTGATTCTATTACTCTTGGATCATGGGAGTTAAAACCCATTATACTTTCATCACACTATGGAATTTGGATTGATGAAGTATTAGTATTTGTAATTTTGGAGGTCCTACATTAATAAATAATGTAAAGACATCTATAATTCGGAACAATTATTCTCTTTGTACAAAATTCTGGATTAAGATATTTTCTTATAGAGGCCATAAAAGTCATTTTCTAAACTTATTTTGACATTTACATTTCAAATGATTTCAAACTCAAGTTTGAAACAATCAGTGTTGCTCAAGTGGAAGAATCTTAGAATTCTATTCTAATTTGGGGCTTCGCTAATTAATTTGGTTTTCTCAAAAAAGGGGTTAAATTAAAACTAGTAAAACCCACTATAGCATGATCCATTACAGTTGGGACGTAGGTATGTTTCAGTCATCTAGGGCTTGTTATGAAAAGGATTATCTTAATGCGAGGTTTAGCTATAGTTATACAAGGTTTAATCCCTTTCTCCCATCTGAACGTTAGCATCGTATTGTTAGGGTGGCTCATTCTATTGATGGCCACAATACAGAACTTGGAGAGGGAGAGGGACTCCCCTATGTGAGGCACAAAAACGATAAGGTACCGATCAAGATTTTCAAGTGAGGAGGTGATTTTTGGTTGGTACCTAGACCGACCTGGATCAGTCCTCTCTGAGATGAAGTGAGGTGAACTCCTGTGTCCGAAGTGAACCTCGGTGTCCGAAGTGAGTGGCGGGGCTTCTCCCCTGGTATCACTCCGACGATCAAGTTAGTATGAGAACGAGAATAATGAGAATGAGTTAATGAACAGTGTGCCCACTTGTTGGGAGTGTGTCTGGGGTATTTATAGAAGAGAGGTGGTCAAGACGGAAGGCTCATGCTAGCGGGACCCACTCTCTGGCATTACTCTGGCATTACGGCTCTGTCTCCTGTCAGGAGGTCTGACTCTGACACTGTAGCCGCCTAGGAGTGATGACGGAGGATATGGTGCAGGTGCCATTAAGTGCCTCCAGTGCTTTTCAGATAAAGTGCTGGTCCTGGATGATGTCAGGTGGGTTGACATCATCAGCGTGCAGCTGAGGCGGGGGTGCCGAGGTCGGCTACACAGTATGCTATGGGAACGGCCGAGCCCGAGCTCAGGGATGATGTCCGGGACACGGATGAACTCCGATGAGGGACGAGGTGAGTCCACCTCGGCCACTCGGGATGGCCGAGGTGAGCATCCTCAATAAGCCCCCCAAGCCTCGGATGCTCCGAGCAAGGGAGGTGCCGAGGCTTCCTAGTGCTGAAGTCATGAAGAGTCGAGGCTCCGAAACCGCTCCGGAAGATGCGGGGACTCGACACGTGGACGAGTCAGTTGATAGGACGTGGTCACTGATAACCGTCGCGTCGTGAAGTAGTGGGACGTTTCGTGCAGAAGGTGTCAGTCGAAAGGACGGGGCATTAATGAGGAGAGAGGGAGGCGTGACGTTTTGAATTCGATCGTGATCGTCTTTTCGTATTCTTGCCGCCTCTTCGGATTCTGGCTCTCCTCTATAAATAGGTGGTCCCTTTCACTGCATGGCCCATCACTTTCTTTCTTCGCTTGACTTGCAAAATTTGTGAGCGTAGCCGAGATCAATCCTGCCAGCCGAGATCACAGCCGAAGTCGTCCACTTCGTCCAGTTCGGTATACAATAGTAAGTATCCCTTTTTCTTCTTGTCTTGTCTTTCACATATGGCCAAAACGGCTAAAACCCACAAAGAAACCGTGACCCCGAGCTACCAGACCGAGATGAGGGCGGATTCTGAGGAAGAAGCGACGACGTCCAGTTCGGAGGGGTCGGCACAGGGTTCCGAGGAAGGATCGACCGAAGTGAGAGTCGGCGAGGCAGGCTCGGGATTGGAATCGTCCGAGATGAGCGAGGGTGGTTCCGAGGTCGAGTACAATACCAAGCTCGGGACCGAGATACCCCATGACGAGGGCGTGCCGGAGCCAGTTGCTCCAGTGGACGTAGCCAACATCAATTTCGGCCAGATGCCGAAATTTAGGAGTCGAGTGGGAAGGGATAGGGCCGAGAAGGTGGTAAACAAGTACCCCTTCCGGCCGTGGTATGAAGTTTTGCCGCCCGAGGTGGATGACACAGCCGCGGAACCCCCCTTCGGCATGGTGGCCGTCTACATTCAACAGCTGGAGGCCGGACTGAGGATGCCGACGTCGAGGTTCCTCCGGGACTTACTTCGTCACTTCCAGGTGAGAATCACCCAACTCACCCCGAATGCGATCCGCATCATTGTGGGGTTTGAGATGCTGTGCCGACATCAGGAGGTGACTCCCTCCGTCGATCTCTTCCGCCGATGCTACACCCTCAAGGCGCACGCGACTGATAAGGGATGGTTTTATGTTGGCAACCGGAACAATGCCATCCCGAAGTTGGTGATCGGTGCTCCCAGCTCGATCAAGAACTGGAAGCGCGACTACTTTTTCGTGCCCGGAGTGGACTTTCCGAGGGGTTTTTGGTGGAGGCCAATTAAGGCGAAGGCCGACCCCTCAGCGGGGGATGCCGAAGAGGAGTCCTTCCAGAAGCTGATGAAGTCGGGACTTCGGCTATTCAGCCATGACTACCCCGAAGCCGTGCTCGTGGATGGGGGGATAAGTCGAGCCGTGATCAATACTACCAAAGCTCCCTTCTTTTCCACTGAACTTGAGAAGCCTTGTAATTTTCTTTCATGACTTTTCTTTTCACTTCGGCTAAGGCATATGATAATATTTATTTCTTGTGCAGTGACTAAACTGTCCGACCTCGTCGTCTCCGGCTCGTCCGAAGTGGCCAAGAGGCAGAAGAGGAAGAGCACTGACGAGACATCGGCGCCTCCGCCAAAGAAGAAGTCACAAGGACCAGCCGCTAAGACTTCAGCGCCCAAAGGCATTTCCACCAAGGCTGGCCAGAGCAGCTCGGCCACTACGGCTACTGGGTCCACCTCGTCTGCGCCAGAGGGAGTTCCCCTTGGAGTTGTTAAAATAGCCACACCTCCTTCTGGCCGAAGCAAGCAGCTGAAGCCTCCGGTTAATCCGGTGTCGGGGACCTCGCTATGGAATCGTTTCCATAGCCCCCCAGTGTTTTCCGAAGACGAGAAGACGCACTCCGGCAATCATTGGTGTCCGAACTGGAAGATTTCGGTCAACGACAGGTGCCAACACCCTCGGGTCGCTCAAGAGCTAATAATGCACTCCATTCTGCCAAGAGATTTGGAGTTCATGAAGAAGCTGAGCCCGGCCGAGCTGGTTCAAAGTCTGATGGTGACCACGGCTTCCACCTCAGCCTTCGCGGCCGAGATGGCACACCGATATTGTGCTCTGGTCGATGAGCAGGACACCGGCAAGCTACAGAATCAGATCTCCAAGTTGGAGAAACAACTGGCGGTGTCCGAGTCTGAGAAGGCCGAGCTTGAAAGGCGGCTTAAGGAGGCCGAGGTGAAGGATGAGGAGGCCGTGGCTACTGTCAACAGTCTCAGATCGGCTCTCGAAGAAGAGCAGAAGAGGGGGGACGAGGCGAAGAAGTCCCACCAGCAAGCCCTTGACAGTGCTGGAGCCTCGGCGGTGGACGAATTCCGGAGGTCTGAGGCCTTCACCAGGGATCTCGGCCAACTGCTCACGCCGAACTTCATGTTTGGCTTCACATCAGCCATAGACGAGGCTGCAGCTCATCTCGCTCCCGAAGCCTTGGAGTCTCTGAAAAATCATACCAGTTACAACGAGCACTCCAAGGAGTTGTGCGACCGGATGGCTGAGGGCCTCCAGGCTGGAAGGGACCTGGCCGAGGTCCAGGCCGAGTTCAACAAATGGCTGTCCGAAATCGACGAAGTGTTCGAGGGGGTTGAAGAGGAAGAGACTGGAGAGGATGCCGGGGGAGACGAAGCCGGAGGGGACGTCGGCAAAGAGCCTGGAGATGAAATTCACCCCGGCGGAAAGGAGGCCGAAGAGATGGATGCCCAGGAGGGAGCCAAGACCGGGGATGCAGCCGATACGGGGGTTTAGGCTTGTAGGCTTCAAGGGGGTGGCCGAGGTGAAGTGTCTAGTAGCACTCCGACTTCGGCCTTGTATTTTTTGTAATACTTCTATTGAATGAAAGTCTGTTTCTTTTCATCTCAGCTCTTTAATTTCTTGTTTCTTGCTTTGACTTCATCCCTTGCTTGTCCCCCTTATTTTTTAACTGCGTAATAACGATGTTGAAAAAATAACATAATAGCCGAAGTCATAGCTTGGCAAGATAACTGGATAGAGTCAACTTTGATGAAATAACCGAATGGAGTCATAACTTCAAGCATAATACAACCTAAGGTTCTCGGCGTGCCAAAACCTCGGCACTAATGAGTCATCTCTGTAGCTCAGTTTACAATACCCTTTAGGGTCAGATTCCACAACTCGGTAAGGGCCTTCCCATTTCGGGCACAGTTTTCCTTGAGGTTCAGCTCGGCTGACTGAATTTTTTCTGAGAACCAAGTCTCCCGGACGGAATCTACGATGTCTGACACGGGCGTTGTAATAGCGTGCCAGTGTGTTCTTGTATGAAGCTATCCGGGCTGAGGCGAGATCCCTTCGTTCTTCGACGAGGTCGAGGTCCAGCTGCCTCTCTTCGTCGTTCACCTCGGCGGCATAGGCTGCCAGCCGAGGGCTGGGAGTAAGGATTTCAGCCGGGATGACAGCTTCGGCGCCATAGGTGAGGGAGAATGGGGTCTCTTGTGTCGCTGACCTCGGCGTGGTCCGATATGACCACAAGACACTGGGGAGTTCCTCCACCCAAGATGACCCAACTTGGTGTAGTCGGGTCTTGAGGCCATGCAGGAGAGTCCGGTTGAAGTTTTCTGCTTGACCATTGGCCTGGGGGTGGCCAACCGAAGTGAAGTGTTGCTTGATGCCGAGATTCTCGCACCAGGTCTTGAATGGATTCTCGGCAAATTGTCTCCCATTGTCCGAGATGATGATCTGAGGTATGCCGAAGCGGCAGACAATGCACTTCCAAAAGAATTTTTGAATGGTCAGCCCCGAGATGGTCCGAAGTGGCTCGGCCTCGACCCACTTAGTGAAGTAGTCCACAGCAGTCACAAGGAAGGTATAGCCCCCGACCGCTTTAGGGAAAGGACCTATGATATCTGTCCCCCATTGCTCGAATGGCCAAGGTGAAGTGATGGGAACCATGAAATTTGAGGGCTGGTGATGCTCGGGTGCATGGACTTGGCAGGAAGGACAGCCGAGGACGAGGTCCTGGGAGTCTTGCCGAAGTGACGGCCAGAAGTATCCAAGGAGCATAGTCTTCTTGGCTAACATCCTGTGGCCGACATGAGCTCCGCACAGGCCTTCGTGGATCTCGTGGAGGATATGACGTCCGGCCTCGGGAGTGATACACCTTAGACAGGGGCCGAGGTAAGAGCGTTTGTACAATTCTCCATCGCGGAGGGCGTATCGAGCCGCCTTGCGTTGTATTCTTCTCGCCTCGGCTCGGTCTTCAGGGAGTGTTCCTTGACCCAAGAAAAGGATGAACGGGGTCATCCAGGTATTTTCGGAGTGCACGGGGCAGGCCACCTCTTCCACATATGCGGGTTCATTCAGAACTTCCACTAAGACCGTCTTGTTGAGGTCAGAGAATGAAGTGGAGGCCAGCCGGGATAAGGCGTCGGCTCGCTTATTCTGGGACCGGGGGATTCTTTGGATTTCGAATGACTTGAAATATGCGGTTAGTTGGTGAACCTTGGAGAGGTACCTTCGCATGGTCTCATCCTTAGCCTCGTATTCGCCAAGAGCTTGGCGCACAACAAGTTGGGAGTCACTGCGGACATGGACTTGCTGGGCGCCGAGCCCTCGGGCCAGCTGGAGTCCAGCAATTAAGGCCTCGTACTCGGCTTCATTATTGGTGGCTGGGAAGCCAAAGCGAAGGGCGTAGGAGCATACCTCTCCTTGAGGTCCTTCCAGGAGTAGCCCGGCTCCGCAGCCTTCTCCATTAGAGAATCCATCGACATACAATGTCCATGGGGATGAAGTGGACACTTCAGCTCCGGCGGAGGCGGACTCCGGACCTTCCGTGA